GACCCGACAACGTCTGGGAGCTGAAACATTAGTGGCATGAAAAGAAACAGGACCTTATCTCTGATGTTCCATCTTGTTTTAAAGCAGCCACACGACTCGTCCTCCGTCTCTGATCTCCAGCAGATCTTCTCGTTCTGTTTCATGAATATCAAAGTGATTTATTCCTCTGCGCTGCAGCCAACACTTTGCATCGTAACAGAAACCTCAAATATGCACCTAAATGCAGCGTTGTTACTTATGAAATTGCACGTGCTTATTATTGTACCTAAGACCCACTTTCTGCTCCACAGTTTTTACAAAATAATCGCACATTCCTCGTTAAATCTGTCTGCAGATTCCTGAGAGCTAAAAGGAAAACCATGTTTTATTGACGTTTAGTTCAGAGGATTCCTCGGGCTAATATCTGAAGAGTAAAATTAGACCTGAGCTGTCTGTCAGAATAAAATCCCAATTATCTGCAGAGACACGTTCCCTCAGCTCTATAGATGTTTCATTTTTTTTGATTTCCTTCTATTTTTTATTGTCCCTAAGCCATGTTTTTAGCTTTTTTGTTGTTGTTTTAACGTTGATCCTGGGTGAAAGTTTGCAGCTAGAAAATCTGAGTTTCCTGAAATGGAAATAAGTCAGATTTTAATAACAACAGACTCAGACTTGCTTGTCTGATCGTGATGATCAGATGCTTAACTCTCGATCTGTCTGAGTTTTGTGTTTTTCTCGTAAAACGTTGTGATTCATCTATCGCTCTTACCAAAACCCAGTTATTTTTACTGAGGTTACGTACGAAGATGTAAGTTTAAAAACATCCCAGTTTGGGTCTGCTCCCGTCAGTTCTCTTTCTGGTTGCTTTGGTCGGATCTTTCTTGAACGTGATCCGCTTTTTGAATTCAGTGTATTTTCTCTTCCCTTTATTCTGTCTTTTGGAAGTCATAAAGTTAATAACATTGTTAGAAAAACAACCAATCAGACTTTGCTGTCCAGGAATGAGCCATTCAGACTTGCTGCTACCGATGGTATCAGAGCTGTTCATCACTGCAGATCAACATTTTTATCTCTGTAGAGAATAAAAATAAACATCCTGGTTGGTCAGACCTGCAGTGTTTCCGATCCAGCAGGTTTTTGTTGTGTTGTTCATCAGGGGTCCAGAGAAATGTGCATGCAAATGGTGAGATGATCTTAGAGTATCTTTTTCATTGAGGTGCAGAAACAGTGGGTGGGATCCCAACCGAAGAACAGGGACTGAAAGCTTCTTCTGAGTGTGTGAGAGACGAACGACTTCTTAACAGAGCAATTTTAACAAACGACATTCATTCATCCATCCATCATCTAAATCCACCTGTCCTGAAGGGCTGCTGGGGTGTTTACACCTTGGACAGGTCACAAGTTCACCAATGTTGACAGAATACTTTTAAATTGCAATTAAAACAAATCTAAAAGTGAATCCTGTTCATATTAAAGAAATCAGTTCAAATAAAAATGTCCTGTTTACATTATATTGATTTAAAAGCCTGGTGCTTAAATGTTCTGAACAATCAGGTTGTTGTAGATTTTTATTAACTTTTCCTATGTTTTTAATATAAAGGTCCATAGCTTATTTGAGCCAGACCTTAAATCTGCTGTGTAACGATTAAAGAGTTGAGATTTTAGTTCTGAGCTGCAGACGGAGTCAACAAGAACATCGCAGTGGCTGAGGATAGATTTACTGCAGCAAAAAGATCCACATGCCACATACTTGGAGATGCTGGTTCAGCTGGTGCGCTGTCCTCCATTTCCAGTGAATCTGTTGTGTGTGTGTGTGTCTGTGTGTGTGTGTGTGTTGCTGCAGTGTTACAGCAGGAAATGCTGTACAGTTCAGTCAGTTTTTGGAGAGGCCCAAACATTCCAGTTAAAGTTCACCAGTCCCTTCAGGGCGCACGGTTCACTGCTGAATAAACACGTTTCTATCATCCAGATTCCTGCAGCTGGGCTCCAGCTCTCAGAACGTTTCTCCCATCGAACCACAAGAACCGAGTTGGAGTTCAGCTTCAGCCAGAGAAATAAACATGTTTCATTATTAGGAGTGGCTGAACCACATCGTGTTGTGGTCTGTGGGTTGTAACTGCTTTGGTTGTTGCAATTATCTCTTGGCTGGGTTCAGACGCTGTACGGTTTCTATAAAGCTTCAGTTCAGGGTTATGTATTGCTCTGTACTTTTATTTTTAGTTTATTTTACTTGGCTGTTCCACTGGCTCTCGTCTGTCTGGGTTTATTGGGGCTTTGAATTGAAATAAGCTGCACTGCCTCAAAGTTTGTATTCTAAAATTTAGATAACAGTTGTCCGAAGGTAGAAACACATTTACATTTACGCCTCATAAACATTCACCAAATCCTCCTCAGCAGTTTCTTAATGTGAAATTTTACACCTTAAAAACTGATACAGACCCACATATAGCGGACTAGTTAAAACACAAGGTGAGCCTCTGGTTTTTATTGTGTTGTTGACTTTTGGTTAATTAAAAAAAGAAAATAACAAAATCAAGTGCAATTAAATGTTTAATCAGACATACAACAATAAATGTCTGGTGGTTTCAAAATGCTGTGATTACTGACGATGTTGCAGTTATTAAAATTAAAATGTTTCCTGTCAAACAGTGTCTAAAGAGAGACTCAGTGAGTCCTAACACGCTTCCTGTGGTTTGTGACCAGTTTATGAGACAGAACGTCATCTGTGCAAATATCACTGTAAGCATTTCTAGACTTCAAAGTCAAATGAAATATTAAAGATTTAAATTTACTCAACATTTAAATGTGAGATTGGAGTCAAAAATTACAAACTTTGCAAATGCTTAATTATAAGTATAATGTTGATTATACCTTTCCAAGCTGTACAGTTTGCGTGTCGCGGTAACAAATTTTACTGGAAGATAAATATTGCCATTTTGAGACCATTTTCAAGTAATGTAATTGTAATGACATAATAATGCGAGAATACACTCTCAAAGATGACTAACTTTAAATTCTAATAAACATCTAACACTAGAACTGGAAGACATTTTAAATTTCCAAAACAAATAGACAAAACAACAGAAGCAACAAATGAATTAATTATGAAATCTCTGTAAACAAAAAAGACTGAAGACTTTGTCATCCCATTTTTGGTAGAAAGAGAGCGACAAAAAAAAAATTGGTTAAATCAGTCAAGTGGAAATTATTGAGATTGTTTTAATTTATTATGGCGATTAATTGATTTATTGCGACAGGCCTAAAAGTTTGTTTCTTGTTCGTTCAGTGAGATTTTATCTAGCACACAACGCCGTAGGAGACAGTAAATGATACAATTATGACTTTAATTATTGTAGTCGTTGGGGTTCTGTGTGTGGTCCATGCTTTTACATTCCTTCCTAGAGGGATTTTGTTTAATTTTGTTTAATCCATTGTGAAGTTGCATGCAATCCTGGTTTACAATCATCTACACATTGAGATAAATGTGCTTTTTCTCCACCAACAGAATAAGAATCATCTGCAGTCCACCAGAAACTAGAATCCACCAGATGTCTCAACATGATCCTCATCTTTGTTCTTGGTGAGTTTTTCTCATCACATCCCTGACTGAAGAAATGTTCTCAATGGTCTCTTCATGGAGGAGGAACTAAATTAAAGTGAAACTCCAGTGGAATCGATTAACCTGTGGGAGTTTGGGAAGGTTGTCTACTTGAAGCCACTGACTTCACTCTGAACTTCTCCATCCTGCTGAGTTCCTCCAATAAAGGTAGAGAAAATTACCCAGAAGGAAAGGAATCCAGAATCTCAAGCAGGATGTTCCTGAATATTTAGAGAACCGAACAGCAAGATGAGACAGAAGATCTGTTCCGGCCGGTACTGGGTCTTTTCTAAAGATATTTGGAGTCGGAAACACTTCTAGAGTCTTTGGAGCAGAAGCTGATGTTCTCTTCCAAAACAAGAAACAAGACAGCAAGCTCTGAGTTCCTCATGAAACAATGGATTCACTCACTGTGGCTCATCTGTCCCTGCAGTTTGTCTCCCGGCGGTAAAACCCCAGGACCTCCAGGACCAGTGCCCTGGCGGCTCCTGTCACCCCCAGCTCGGTGACCTGATGGTGGGACGGGGAACGCAGCTCTCAGCTTCATCCACCTGCGGCGTGGACGGACCCCAGAACTACTGCATCGTTGGATACCTTGAGGTTAGAGGCAGCACCCGCACACACACACAGGGGATCTGTGAAACAGACGATAAAGATGTTTCCATTGGCTGAAGCTCAAGCTGTTTCTGTGGGTTATCTTGTGCTACCATTTGTTTATGCTGAGGCAATAATGTGTGACGATATGTGGGACTGTGCAGGTTTTGTGGATTTGAATAAGCTGCTGCTGAACTCATTTTTTTCTCCCCCCATTCTCTGACTTTCATACCGAAACAAGTCTTGATTTGTCACTTTACATTCTGACACCCTTCAGCCTGAGGAACTTTTCCAACTCCTCTCCCCATTAATGCATTTTCCTTTCTCCTCTTCTCTCATGGCTTAGGTTGGAAATACTTAGTGCTGTAAAAAGGAGATGGGCCAACAACTCTAGCCTCCAGGCTCGTCCATAAATCAGACACCCGTCAGTGTCACGTCTTTACACCTATAGCCTCTTTATGTTGCTCGTTAGACACAAACCCCAACCTTTCAGCACGTATTAGTAAACCACTGATTATTGATTAGGATGAATGACTCATTTAAAATTATTATTGATTCATCAGGGGGAGAAAAAGTGTTTCACGTGTGACTCCCGACTGCCGTTTAGTCCCCAAAGCAACCCACAGAGCCATCGTATCGAGAACGTCGTCACAACGTTTGACTCCGACAGACGACTGAAGTGGTGGCAGTCTGAGAACGGTGAGCTGGAAACCGTCCCGTCACGGCGCGTCATTATTAATGACAGAATAAAACGTAAGAAGCTTTCTGTTGTTTGCAGGAGTTCATCAAGTCAGCATCCAGTTGGACCTGGAGACTGTCTTCCAGTTCAGCCACCTGGTCCTCACCTTCAAGGTAAACAGCTAAAGACACTCACTTATAATGTTCTTCTCCTGCCAGGCTGCTAAGTCAGATGATTTTTAAAATGTGCTTTCACACGTAGGAGACACCTCCGCTGAACTGAATGAACAGTTTTATCTGAAAAAATGTTTGTTCTGATAAGAGCTGAGAAGGTGATGTGAAGAGGGGAGAGATTAGTCTTTTCGTTCAGATTAGTATCACCCTGCTGGATTATCAACAGCAATATAAGAAGCAGGACTGCAGAGGCGTGAGGTCGGGTGGGACTGGCGTACCCAGGGTAGCTGAGATTTGAGATGTCGGCCTTATTGCTAACCACTGACGCTGCTCCACTGATTCTGATGCTGAACGTAGATCCAGCTAACTCAGTCAGTTTTAAATCTGGAGGTTAATTCCTACAAAGAACAGGCCATGAACAAGAACAGGCTTTTTCATCCTTAACTTTATCCTCTGGTCAGACAATGCGATGTTCTTCTTAAGAACATCGGAAACGTCCGACTTAAAGATGGACGTGGTTCAGTCGGCAGCGCTGCATGAGCCCCTGGGTCTGATTTGCTTGATAGGATGTGAATATCTCCCGTCTGTCTTCCTGCAGAGCTTCAGGCCTGCAGCCATGCTGGTGGAGCGTTCGAAGGATTTTGGACGGAGCTGGAAAGTTTTTCGCTACTTTGCAGACGATTGTTCCCTTCATTTTCCTTCAGTTCCTGCTGAACCTGCCAGCTTCATTGACGACGTTGTCTGTGACAGCAGATACTCTGGACCAGAACCGTCCACAGGTGGAGAGGTAGGTACCACGTTTAAACACACATCCACCAACCTATTTGCTCCGTTCATGGAATAAAAAAAACATTCAGGTACAAACTTGTAATGTGGGAAGAAATGTCTCTGCTTGGACAAGAGTATTTTTTAGTTTGACGCTATTGTTTTTGGTTTTGAATGTTAACGTAGACTCTTGTCCTTTCAATGGTGCAAACCTTGAATGTGACTTTTTCGCCCATCAACACAAATCAAGCCAAGATAGTTTAATTTTTATCACATATTTTCAGCAGCAAGCCATTTCCAAGTTCATTACAGGATTAGAAGGAAAATAAAACAAGGGAAAACCATCACACTGCAGTGGCAAGCAACGACAAGTTGAAAAACAGACTTCAGTTTATAATGTTTTAGTTGACATTAATCAAAAGGCAGCTCTAAACAAGCAGGCTTTGAATCTGTCTCTGCATATTTGTGGTACCAGCCGATAACTCTGGCTTTACACTCAGCAGCCATTTTTGTCTGAGAGCATCCTGTTTGAAATCTCGCAATGGTGAGATACTGTTGATCGGTTTCTAGGTGTCATCTTGGTCTCATGCTGTCAAAATATGAACAGCGTGATAATAAAGATTGTTTTACACCAATAGATCTTTTTTGTTAATTCAGGAATCAAACACCTCTTGTGAATTTAGCCACTAACTGAACCTCAGGTTGTGCAAAAACTAACGAGACATTGAACAATTTAGACATTCAAATTTTTAGAAAAGTTCACATTAAGTCCATCTGTAAAAGTTTGTGCATTTTAGGTTCAGCCTGAAATTTCACTCGAAAGCCACATATCCCGTGTTTTTTGTGAGCACTAAATATTCTGGCACTAAATATTCTGGCACATATGACATAATGCAGGAAAAATGTGTCTGATTTAATATCAGAGAGTACAAACTGTGTTTTTTATACAGTGTGTGTAAATAACTGAGGAAAGTATTGATTGACATTTAGATAAATCTGTAACCTGGTATGTTTGTCCACCAGGTGGTGCTAAAAGCTCTGGATCCTGTCTTTGAAATAGATGACCCATATGCTCCGAACATTCAAGGTGAGACGATGGAAAAGGTTGTTGTTGTTGTTTTTTTTTCCCAAAAGGTACTTTTAATCTGACAAACGGTCCTCACTGGAACACATATTCCAATTTATTAAGTATAACTTTTCATATATTCGCTTATACATGTCTTAATTATCCTCAGAGCTCATCACCTTGACGAATATCCGCGTGAACTTCACCCGTCTCTTCACGCTCGGTGACACGCTGCTGGCTCGCAGACGCAGAAATCCTCAGGAGAAATATTACTACTCACTTTACAGCATGGTGGTTCAGGGAAGCTGCTTCTGTAACGGACACGCCAGCCGCTGTGTCCCTGTGGACGGAGGACGTGGAGATGTCTTCACCCAGCCCGGCATGGTACACACCGAAACTTTGACATTAAATTTGTTTATCTTCAGTTTAAATTGTTTTGCTGTTGTCTATTCCTTTTTTTCTTCTTCTTCTTCCAGGTTCACGGTCGATGTGTCTGTGAGCACAGCACAGCTGGGGAGAACTGTGAGAGATGTCAGCCGTTCCACAATGACTCCCCCTGGAAGCCTGGAGGACAAACTACACCCAACATCTGCAGGAGTACATTTTTATTAATTTCCTCTTTTGTTTCCGCACAAATGAATCAGCTATCATTTTATTCTGGATTAAAAACAGACATACAGATTGTTTGTGCTTCTAAACCTTCACATTTATGATGCCTGAGTTGTTTCAGGTTTCTCCTCCATGTCTGTGACCTTGTTTGTCTCTCTTTTAGGGTGTAACTGTCACGGTCACTCAGACTCGTGTCACTTTGATGCTGCTCGCTACGAAGAGACCGGAGGTGCAAGTGGCGGCGTGTGTGACGACTGCCGCCATGACAGGACGGGGCCTCAGTGCGAGCGCTGTCGACCTTTAATGTATCAGGACCCGCAGAGGGCGCTGGAGGACCCCCACGCCTGCATACGTATGCTTCATCACGTGCAACTTATTCATACTCGCTGCTTTTACAGTGCAGCATCAAACCAGGCGATGCAGGTGGGAGTGATGGTTCTGATGCTTCACTTCAGTGGAAATAAAAGCTGCTATTGCAGCTTTTTAAACAATCAGTAATGGTTATGGCTTGCACTTTCTGGTTCTTCTATCTAAGTGGGCCCCCAGGGATCAGTGCAAAGTTGATACGTTCCCCTGCTACCTGTCCTCAGGATCAAATTAATAACTCATCCATTTGAATAAAGATTATTGGAGGATGGAGGCATCTAAAACAGGGTGCCCAAGTTCAGGCCTAAAACGCTGCTGTCCTGCAGTTTTTAAATGCATCCGTTTTCCAACACACCTGAACAAAATGCCTGAACTCCCTCATCAGCATTCAGTCACTGAACTCTGCAGACGCCTGGTGATGATACCATTTGATTCAGGTATTTCGGAGAAAAGATGTATGGAGTTGGACAGCTCTGATATTGATTTGAGATGATGACCAATGATCATCATTGTCAGATTTTTACTTTTCAAATTGGTGTTTCATGAATGAGTCAAACTCGGTTTTTCTCTCTGGTTTGAGTTCTGAGTCTCAGATGTCTCACAGGTCAGAGATCACTGATGTTTCTGTAGCTTCCAGCAGCATGGCGTCAGGACGTATGCTGCGTCTGAGCATCATGGAGTGACGTTCTTGTTGCAGCGTGTGACTGCGACCCCGCCGGCTCCCACAGCGGCGGCTTGTGTGATGCTTCAAGCGGTCGGTGTTTCTGTAAGGAAAACGTGGAGGGTCAACGCTGCGATCGCTGCAAACATGGCTTCTTCGATTTGAGATCGGACAACCCGGCTGGGTGTGAAGGTACCAGTGCACCTGTTTTTACCTCCATTCAGGTCTTTATTCATATTTTATCAAGTAAGAATAATCATTTCAAAGCTATACTTGTCAGATCAATATAATCATAGGAGCAGATTCAGATTCAGTTCCATTTTAGTTTGTGGGCGGTGCCAGAAAGGTGGTTCGCCCAGGACGCCAAACAGGCTAGGACCGCCTCTGCTGGGAGCTGGTTCTTTAAATTGTCAATAAAACTTCTTTAATCTCTCCAGGATTGTGGTTTCCAATCCGCACATTGTTTGTAACATGCCGTAACATGTCGATGTGCCCTCGGGCAAGACGCATAACCTTCGGTTGCCCTACCAACCTTCCAACCTTCGGTTGCCTACCAACCTTCCAACCTTCGGTTGCCTACCAACCTGTGGTATCATGTAAGGTGCTTTGAGTGGTCAGCATTGCTAGAAAAGTGTGATATAAATCCAGCCCACTTACTATTTACTATTTATTTTAACCCAGAAAAGGATTATTTTAGTTTATTAGTAATATCAGAAATTGTTCAGTACCCACTATTTAGATCAATATTATACAACCCAGAAATGGAATCAGAATTAGAATCACTACGAACTTGGAATCCAGAAATACTTAACAGGAACAGTCACTGCTTAGTTTATATTACTTTTAACCCAGAAAAGGATTTAGAACAAACTTAGAATTGTGAAGTATTCACTTTAACCCAGAAAAAGAATTAGATCAGTCACTCTTTAGCTTATTTTGTCAGAAACTGTAGAGTATTCACTATTTAGAAGTGGAATTAGATACTTAGCAACCCTGAACAGGAGCACTTAGTTTACATACTTTAGAACAATGTTAGATTAGTTTTCTTTCCTCTTTTTTCTTTCCTTTGGTTTGTTATTTTGTTTGTATTTCCTTTTAACTCATGTAAAGCACTTTTACATGCCTTGTTGCTGAAAATGTGCTATATAAATAAAATTACCTTACCTTACCTTTATCTTAGCATATGGTAATATTGTTAGTGTTTCGGTGACATGAGGAGGTCAGGTTACATTATAGATGCTCATATAGTTGAGCAACAACTATTTTTTAACCATTTAAGATAGCAGATAGGCCAGATGAGACAACATCCTGCTGTTTGTGCTACTTCTGTGCAGCTTCGATCTGACTTTATGCTGTTTTCAGTCTGCAGGTGCCATGGTTTGGGAAGTGTTGGACCATGTGATCCGCTTACAGGGAGCTGTAGATGTGAGTCAATGGCCACCGGGCCGCTGTGTGATCATTGTGTGGTAGGTTAAAGTTTGTAAAACAGAGATCAGTAGAACAGATCCTCTGTATTAAGTCATGTTTTGAGGTTTAATGGTTTTGTTTCCAGGCAGGTTTCTGGGGTTTGGGAAACTCTGTGTTCAAATGTTCACCCTGTGACTGTGATGTTGGCGGAGCCAGCAGCAACATGTAGGAGCTTTCTTCTTTTACTTTTGACTCTGTATGTTCAAGTGATTTAATGCTTTCATAAAACTGAATCCAGTCACTAGTTGTCATCTGAATAACAAGATGTGACCCACTCTGAGGGAGTTGAATCTACTCTCAAAGAATATAAAGTATAAAGTTTGTGATGTACTTTGGGTTTGTTCAGGTGTTCTCCAGAGGACGGACAGTGTTCCTGTTTACCCAACATGGTGGGCCGGCGCTGCTCTGATCCTGCACCTGGTTACTTCCTGCCTTCGCTCATCTACTTCCTGTATGAGGCGGAGCTCGCTGCACAGCTGACAGGAGGAACTTCCTCCCCTTCTCCTCCTGGTCCTCT